TGAAAATTGCGAGTCTCAGGTGTAAGTCCACAACACACCAAAAACTACCGCTGTGCTTATTGTGGATGGATGGCGCTCAGGAAATGGTAACATGTACAGAATCCTCCATCAGGACAGAGGAAAAATAAAAAAACAGAGAAAGGGAAGGAGAGATATTCTGCAGGAGGGAAAGTGATAGTCTTCAGACAGAGATAGGAGTGCTGGAGGTGAGAGCAGTAAAAGAGACAGGAGAGATACTCTGCATGGAGAGGAGAGATACTCTGTATAGAAAAAAAAAAAAAGATACTATGCATGGAAAAGAAAGCTTCTCTGTATGGAGAAGAGAGATAATCTGCTTGAGAGGAGCGATAATTTACATGGAGAGGATCGATAATCTGCATGGACAGGAGACGCTCTGCATGCAAAGGCGAAATACTCTGCAGGGATAAAAAGAGATATTCTGCACGGAAAGGAAAAGAAAGGTACTCTGCATGGAGAGGAACAATACTCTGCATGAACAGGATAGATACTCTGCATGAAGAGGAGAGATATTCTGCGTGGGGAGAAGAGATATTCTACAGATAAAGGAGAGATACTCTGTATGGAGAGGAGTGATACTCTGCATGGCACTGAGAAAAATTCTTCATGAGATACTCTGCAGGGAAAAGAGAAATACTTTGCATGGAGAGGGGAAATACTCTGTAAGAAGATGAGTTACTCTGCCTGGAAAGGAGAGATACTCTGCATGGAAGGTGTGAATAGCATTCTAACACAAGAAATACAGATCTTACACAAGAAGACTTCTAATGACAAAATATACATTCAATATATCCACTTAATCAAAACTAAATGTTTGATATATAAAATGGTTATTCCATTTTTCCTCACACTGTATGGTAAGGAAATATGCTCTGTATGGAGAGGAGATGCTCTGCATGAAAAGGAGAAATACTCTGTATGAAAAAGGAGATACTCTGCAAGTAAAGGTACTCTGCATAGAGAGGAGAGATACTCTGCATGGAAAGGAAAGGTACTCTGCATAGAGAGGAAAGATACTCTTCATGGGAAGGAGAGATACTCTGTATAGAGTGGACAAATACTCTGTATGGAGATGAGATACTCTGCATGGAAAGGAAAGATACTCTTTATGGAAAAGAGAGATACTCTTCATGATGAAGAGAGATACCCTGCATGAAAAATAAACATACACTCTATGGAAAGGAATGATACTCTGCATGGAAAATAGAAATATACTTCATGAAGAAGAGAGATGCTCTGCATGGAAAGGAGAAGTATTCTGTTTGGAAAGGAGAGATAATCTGCATGGAAAGGGAATATAATCTGCCTGAAGAAAAGAGATATTCTGCATGGAGAGAAAAAATATTCTGCAGGGAAAGGAGAGATACACTGCACGGAGAGGAAAATATTCTGCATGGAGAGGAGAGATACTCTGCATGGAGAGGTGAGAAACTCTGCATGGAGAGGTGAGAAACTCTGCATGGAGAGGTGAGATACTCTGTATAGAAAAAAAAAGATACTCTGCATGGAAAGGAAAGCTTCTCTGCATGGAGAGGAGAGATAATCTGCAAGGAGATATTCTGTATGAAGAGGAGATACTCTGCATGGAGAGGGGAGATTATCTGCCTGAAGCAAAGAGATATTCTGCAGGGAAAGGAAAGATACTCTGCATGGAGAAGAGAGATATTCTGCAGGGAAAGGAGAGATATTCTGCAGGGAAAGGAGAGATATTCTGCAGAGAAAGGGATAAGGAAAAGATACTCTGCATGGAGAATAGAGATACTCTGCATGGACAGGAGAGATACTCTGCATGATGAAGAAACATACACTCTATGGAGAGGAGTGATATTCTGCATGGAAAATAGAAATATACTTCACAAAGAAGAGAGATACTCTGCATGAAAGGAGAAGTACTCTGTTTGGAAAGCAGAGATACTCTGCATGAAAAGGGAATATAATCTGCCTGAAGAAAAGAGATATTCTGCATGGAGAGGAAAAATATTCTGCAGAGAAAGGTGAGATACTCTGCATGGAAAGGAGAGATACTCTGTATAGAAAAAAAGATACTCTGCATGAAAAGGAAAGCTTTTCTGCATGGAGAGGAGAGATACTTTGCAGGGAGATACTCTGCATGGAGAGGAGAGATACTTTGCAGGGAGATACTCTGCATGGAGAGGAGAGATACTTTGCAGGGAATACTCTGCATGGAGAGGAGAGATACTTTGCAGGGAGATACTCTGCATGGAGAGGAGAGATAATCTGCATGGAGAGGAGAGATACTTTGCAGGGAGATACTCTGCATGGAGAGGGAAGATAATCTGCCTGAAGAAAAGAGATATTCTGCTGGGAAAGGAAAGATACTCTGAATGGAGTGGAAAAAATATTTCTGTATGGAGAGGAGAGATATTCTGTATGGAGATGAGATGCTCTGCATGAAAAGGAGAAATACTCTGTATGAAAAAAGAGATAAGGAAGGGAAGGATAATCTGCCTGAAGAAAAGAGATATATCTGCATGGAAAGGAGAGATATTCAGCAGGGAATGATAAGGGGAAGCCCCACCTTAGCCAGAGGTTCCTGCAGAGCGTCTAGCTCTCCTTCTGTTCCTCATTCCAGTGCTGTGTCTGTACAAATCAGTTTCACTTTCTCTTTCCTGCACAATCCAGTTTGAACTGACCTTGCTGCCGCATTGACTGCTCACGCCCTCTATCCTCTAGGACTGTCAGGCTGTTATTTAACCCGTTCCTGACCAGTGGCCATTGATGGCGTTTTGATAAATACCGCGCTCAGAATTTATTTTATTGACAGCAAAATTACAGAAATGGCAAAAAATATAGAGTCCATGGTGTGGCAGTGCCAGTCTCGGAGCTCCGTATTCGACAACAGAAGAGCCAGGCAACGAGCAGATTCAGGAGATTAGCAATGGCAGCCCCTGTGTTGGTCTCAGGACAGGTTCACTTTCAGGTCATAATTCAATAAATTCTTTTCAATGTGTATTTTCAGGTCACAAAGGTCCCCTCTATTGCTCTCATCCTCCTCCAAATTCCTTTTTTTTGTCTGACTTCCTGTTAGAGGGTGGCTACATTTGTTCTGCATGCTTCCACTGTGAGAGCGTAGTCACCCTCACCTGCCTGGATTATGGACTATGGGATGTGGTCTCTGTTAGGCTCCATGCACCCGGAACGTTTTGATAACGCAGGTAATGTAAAGTCACGTTAAAAACTGGAGTTTTTCAGCTTTTTTTTAGCGTTTTTGCATTAGCGTGTAGCAGCGTTTTGCCGCATTTAGCTGCGTTTTCCCGTGTTTTTTTTGGATTTGCATTGGGCAGCACAGTGGCTAAATGGTTAACACTTCCGCCTGGCAGTATTAGGGTCATTTGGTTCAAACCCCAGCCACGGCACCTCCTGCCTGGAGTTTGCATGTTCTCCCTTTGCCTGTGTGGGTTTCCTCCAAGTAATCTAGTTTCCTCCCACACTCCAAAGACACGCTGGGAGGTGAACTGTCTCCTGTCTAAATTGGCCCTAGTATGTATATGTATGAATGTGAGTTAGGGACCTTAGATTGTACACCCCTTGAGGGTTAGGGACCTTAGATTGTACGCCCCTTGAGGGTTAGGGACCTTAGATTGTACGCCCCTTGAGGGTTAGGGACCTTAGATTGTACGCCCCTTGAGGGTTAGGGACCTTAGATTGGACGCCCCTTGAGGGTTAGGGACCTTAGATTGTACGCCCCTTGAGGGTTAGGGACCTTAGATTGTACAGATTGTACCCTTGAGGGTTAGGGACCTTAGATTGTACGCCCCTTGAGGGTTAGGGACCTTAGATTGTACACCCCTTGAGGGTTAGGGACCTTAGATTGTACACCCCTTGAGGGTTAGGGACTGATATGAATGTACAATATATATGTAAAGTGCTGTGTACATTGATGGCGCTATACAAGTACCTGAAATAATAAATTTGCATTTGTTCGATGAAAAATTTTTTTTTGGCAAGCATTAGTTTTTATAGCTAAAAAACTCCTCTAGAAACCCACTAATCCTGTTTTTTTTTCCAGCCAAAAAACGTTGATTACAGTCTATAGGTGGGAATACACGATCAGCAAATCGACGACCGAGAGGCGTTTGTTCGTTGGTCGAAATTTCGACCCACATTAACCAATCTAAAAAAATCGTTCGTCGGGTAATACGTAGTGTTGACATCTTCCGTACAAGTGGAAGTGATGCGGTGTGCGTGTGACCTTGTAGCCACGCCCTGCCACCCAGAACGATTGATATATACAATTACTAGCAATTAGTATAATATCGTATATTACATGATCTATATACATAGTGATACATAATGTGAGTCACTTTGGGTGGGGGGCTCATGGAACCCAGCTCACTTTGACCCCTGTCTCAACTCCCCATATCCCTATTATGTATAAGTCACCCTGTGCCTGTTAGGGGTGCAGGGTGAGATGTCCTAATATTGTGTAGACATGTATAAGTGGGGTGGGGAGTTGTTGATTGTTTAATGCCATGTGGTTGCATCCCATTGTTCTATTGTGTGTATTGCTTGGGAGCAAACTATTATGGGATGTATGTGTTTGTGTATTGGCTTGGTGGGGGGTGTTTCCGGCAGCCCTTCCCCCTGATGGGACTGTCTGCTGATGTGTTTCTGGTTGCTAGATTTGGTTTGACCCGCCCTGTGTCCTTATGCAGGGAGGTGGGTTGTTCCCTTGAATGTTTATATATTGAGTCTGTGTTAAATAAAGAAGTCTATTTCCTGATTTCTTTTAACCACCTCCCGCCCGCCATATAGTCCAATGACGGGCGCAAGGTGGTTCTCTCGTTCTGATAGGCCGTCTTTTGACGTCCTTCCATTCTCACCGTGCATGTGTGGCTCAGGGAGCATGCAGCGCGGCGATCGCTGGTGCACTGTGTCCCTCGGACACAGCAGATCACCGATCCATGGAAACAGCCGAAGATGTCGGCTCGGTCATGTGATTAGCTGTGTCCAATCACAGCTGATCACATGTAAACACGGAAATGCCGGTTATCGGCATTTCTCTCCTCTCGAGCTGTCACGCTGACAGCTCGAGAGTAGAGGAGAGCCGGTAATCGGCATTCCGCGGAAGGGACATGTACACTGATCATCAGGGCACTGATGATCAGTGTGCCCTGCTGATCAGTGTGGCCCCAGAAGTGCCACCTGTCAGTATCCATCAGTGCCAGCTGTCAGTGCTAAACAGTGCCAGTGCCCATCAGTGCCACATCAATGCCACATATCAGTGCCCATCTGAGCTGCCCGTCAGTGTCACCCATCAGTGGCAGTCAGTGCCACCTATCAGTGCACTATCAGTGCACTTCAGTGCCGCCTATCAGTGCCAGTCAGTGCCGCCTATCAGTGCTAGTCAGTGCCACCTAACAGTGCCAGTCAGTGCCAGTCAGTGCCACCTATCAGTGCCATATATCAGTGCTGCCTTTCAGTGCCCATCAGTGATGCCTGTCAATGCCCATCAGTGCCACCTACCAGTGCCTCCTCATCAGTGCCCATCAGTGCCACCTATCAGTGCCCATCAGTGCATCTTATCAGTGCCCATCACTACAGCCTCATTAGCGCACATCAGTGAAGGAGAAAAATCACTTATTTATAAAATTTTATAACAAAAACTAAGAAAAAAAAATTTTTTTTTCAACTCATGGGGCCTCCGGGCAATAAGGAATCATGGGGCCCCTGTGTCCTTGCCCACACTCAAAGCACACCCAAAAAAGCCTATAAAAGGTACCAGGGACATTTCATGGGGCCCCCTACTGACCCCGGGCAGTGCCCGAGTGCTTGAATGGGCAGTCCGCCCCTGATCCAGTTACATTCTGTGTATCCAAGAAAGAATCCAGGACTTTTTAAAAGCAATCCACTGAGCTGGCCACAACCAACTCTTGAGTGAGTCTATTCCACATTTTCACAGCTCTTACTGTGAAGAAACCTTTCCATAAGCAGGTCTTCAGAGTAGCAAAGGACCACAGAGTAGTTGGTTCAGAGCCAGGGTCAGATGTCAGGTGGGGATTGGGGCAGATGAAGCCAATAGGATAGCCGGGGTCATACACAGGAGAGCAAGTGAGAATATCTGTTAGCCAAGCCAAGCTCAGATCAGGAGACAGGCAGAGAAGACAGGTCCAGCAACAAGCCAAGTCGGTAACAGCAGATCACGGGCACACGGAAAAAGGTATTGGGGAGCCAGAGATCAACCAGCAATTTGAGGAAGTGATGGGCTTCCTTATAAAGACCTTCTAGCCCCAAACTGGGCCAATGTGTGCGTAACTGTGCGCATGCTTGTTCCGGCTCCCGCCAGCGCGCATAGATTTTTGACAGTGTGCATTTCTGCGGCCATGCAAGGTACTGGCAGAAATGCCAGGTCTCCGAGTACCTCTGCTGTGGACAGAGCCCTGACATGGTGTAATTATTTGAATTTCATATCGATCTCTTGCAATCCCTCAGAGCCAATCAGAAAAACTGTATGCAAATATATTGACAAGGAGCAAGCTCACAAGAGGAGCGAGCAGAGGAATGACCTCATCAGTGTACTGCTGGTCTTTTATTGACCAATCAGCAGGCAGGAGTGGAGAGATGACACCACTGACTGTTAGCTGTAGCAGAGAAAGTGGCTTCATCATCCTGGCTGTGCTGTGAAGGAGAGCTGTGTAAATCTTAGGGCTGAATGGACAAACATATAAATCAGTTTGCAATTACCAGCTCCCATACTTGTGTTTCCTCTGTGTAATTAGCTATCTGGCTAATGATCAGCTTTAAAAAAAGAACTGCCAATCAAATGCATGAAAAAAAAGCTCAGCCACTTGTTACATACATGATTTATTTTTATCAGTCCACGCCTGACAGAGCGCACGGTGATAGGCGAGGTGTGTCGGTTCAGGTATATTTACATAAAGCCTATAAAAAATGAGTGCGCTGTACACTAAAAAATCATAAACAATAATAAATCAAATAAATACTGCTACATAAAGAATGTGCATAAATTAATGTAAATGAAAAGTCCACATTCGTATATTAACCTCTTGGCAGCGACGTCACACAAATATGCGGCCTCACTGCACTGGGCTTTTTTCCGTGGGGCCACATATTTGCGTAACTGTATTTGTGCTGGGAGCGCGCCACACAGCGCTCTCCCAGCACAAAGACCGGGGTGTCACTGAGAGCCCTGGGTCCTGTTCTAACGATCAGGACCCGGGACTCCTGATTCCGGGTCACATGATCGCTATGATAGCCTCTGATTGGCTATCACAGTGATCAGTCACTGTACAGCCCGGCCCCCTTGTTTTTTCCTCTCTCTATGAATGGAGAAGAGAGATACATTGTATCATTATATACACCCTATTATACATTGTATCATTATATACATTCCATTATACATTGTATCATTATATACATCCTATTATACATTGTATCATCATATACATTCTATTATACATTGTATCATTATATACATCTTATTACACATTGTATCATTATATACATCCTATTATACATTGTATCATTATATGCATTCTATTATATATTGTATCATTATATACATTCCATTATACATTGTATCATTATATACATCCTATTATACATTGTATCATTATATGCATTCCATTATACATTGTATCATTATATACATCCTATTATACATTGTATCATTATATACATCCTATTATACATTGTATCATTATATACATTCCATTATACATTGTATCTCTCTAACTCCTGGCATAGAGAGAAAAAAAAAAGGTTTGAAAAAAAAATAAAAAAAACAAATATTAAAAAATAAAATAAAAAATAAAGAAAAAATACCTAGGTCAAGGTTTGATCTAGTTCAGTGCCAGGGTTATTGTTTGGGTCAAGGTCAAAGGTCAGGGTCAAAGGTCAGATCTTTTTTTTTAATTTGGTATCAGTGTGTCAGTGTGTTTTAGGTAAAAAATAAAAAGACAAAAACAAAATGCACACTATTGTTTCTGGGCTGTACTCTGGGTACAAACAACAAATAACATACACATATATGATATCGCTGCGATCGTCAGGAGCTGGAGAATTTATTTTGGGTTGTTCTTTGGTGGTAGGTTATGGAAGTAACAAGAACACACAGCTAAATTAATAAAATGATTTTTTTTTTACTATTTTGGACCAGTTTTTCCTTGATAATAAAAAAAATCAGGAGATAGCCATTACCATTTACCACCAAATGAAAGCCCAATTTGTCTTGAAAAAAACGTGTTACAGTTCACCTGGATGTACAAAGTAGTTGTGATGATATGTACGGTTTTACTAACATATGTCAACGTTGCAAAATTGTGCTTAGGCATTTAGATTTGCTTTACCCTTAGGCGTGAAGGGGTTAAATAATTAAAAGTCCCAAAATCCAATAACACAGTGCTGTGTGCTAAGGAAATCCTCCAACGGAAAGTGCATAGGTGTTCACAAATGCTTGACGCAAAAGAAAAAAATCAGTCTCTTACCAGACACTTTGATCTCCAATCAAGAGATCAAATGAGCAGATGGTGTTCAGATCCCACACTGACACCCTAGTTAGCCGTATCAAGGAGACTGTTCTCCAATCCCAGAGGATGGCATTTTTGGAGAAATGTGGGCTTTCTGTGATGTCACCTTGTTCCGGCCGGTGGTCTGACACTGTGGGAATTTTAAATGTTCACACTGCCTTTATGCACCTTATCTATGTAAGTGCAATACTTTAATAAATTATTTGCTGGTTTATCGGGTCGCACAATGAAGTTTTCTTCTTCTGTTTTAAACCTTTCCTTGCATGATGTGGAGAGCTGTCTGATGTGATGGATTCATTCAAGTGAACCTGCAGTTGTCCATTCATCTCCTATTCATCTCCTTGATAACTAGGGTGTCAGTGTAGGATCTGAACACACCATCTGCTCGTTTGATCTCTTGATTGGAGATCAAAGTGTCTGATCAGAGGCTGATTTTTTTTTCTTTTGTGTCAAGCATTTGTGGACACCTATGCACTTTCCGTTGGAGGATTTCTTTAGCGCTGTGTTATTGGATTTTGGGACTTTTAATTATTTAATATACGATTGAGGACTTATATCATTTCAATTAATTTATGCACATTTTTTATGTAGCAGTATTTATTTGATTTATTGTTGTTTTTGATTTTTTTTAGTGTACAGCGCACTCATTTTTTTATATGTTTTGTATTTTCTGGTGTTCAGGGAAAGAGTAGCAGCAGTTCACTATTGTTTCAGAATATATATTTTTATTATACATTTATTCACATATTGTATTGTCTGGGGTGTAGCGCAGGTTTTTTCCTCTTTTTTCTTTCTATGTACATAAAGCGACTTAAGAAGACAGTCATCTCTCCAGCCACCCCTCTCTGCCAATCCCTCCACTGGCCTCCACTCAGTGTCCTCCACCCCTCTCTGCCAATCCCTCCACTGGCCTCCACTCAGTGTCCTCCACCCCTCTCTGCCAATCCCTCCACTGGCTTCCCATTGCCCAACGGATACAATTCAAAACATTAACAATCACATATAAAACCATTTATAACTCTGCCCCAAATTACATCAATGATCTTGTTTCCAAATATCACCCAAACCGTAGTCTCGACCTCCTGTTCTCTAGATCCTTTATCTCCTCCTCCCATGCTCATCTCCAGGACTTCTCCAGAGCTTCCCCCATCCTCTGGAATTCTCTACCCTAATTTATCAGACTATCGCCTACTACTGTGCTCACTTTTAGGCGATCTCTGAAAACCAATCTCTTCAGGGAAGCCTATCCTGCCCTCAGCTAATAATGGAATCTTCTACTCTTCCTACCAGTCCATCCCCCACAGTTACTACCTTTTGTACCACCAGCCCCTCCCTCCTAGATTGTAAGCTCCCAGGATCAGGGCCCTCCTATCCCTCTTGTATTGAACTGTATTGTTGCTGTATTGTCTCCCGTTATATTGTAAAGCGCTGAGCAAACTGTTGGCGCCATATAAATCCTGTGTAATAATAATAATAGACAATTCTGCCATCTTCCTCTATAACAAAGACCCTTCAGACTCCATGCACACTAACATTTTTGTAAGCTCCTAGAAGCTAAATACTGTTCTCCTATGTGTCCATGCGCACTACTTTAGTCCATTAGCATTTTTTGAGCTTCAGCTTCTAGCTGCAGAAAAAAAAATTGTTTTTGTAGACTTTTTTGGAGTGTTTTTCCAGCAGAAAAAAAAATGCTAAACACTCCTAAAAACACTACTAACAGTTTTTTTTTTCTAGCTTTTTTTTCTTTTCTACATGTACTGTAAAAACGCTAATAAAACGCTCATGCTTCTAAGGGCTCATGTACACTGTAGCTGATAAACTCACATTCAGGAGCTGTTCAGCATTTTTTTTCAGCAGCCTCTGAACTCACCCTAATGTTTTCCTATGTGTCCATGTACACATCGTCATTTACAGTCCTTTACAGGCATTTGAGTTTACAGGCGTTTTTTTTGAACGCACCAAACCTGCGTTCAGGAGTAGATTTTATCAGTGTTTCAAAGGCAAAATGTTTGTAAACACAGCTAAATGCATCAAATTGCGTTAATAAGTGTTTGCGTTTGAACATTTTTTTAACTCTTCCAGTTCCCGATGCTGTCCAGAGCCTTTTTTCATCATGAAAAATGCATGCAAAGCATTTTCAAGGTGCTCAGATGGACAAAACACTGAACACAGGATGTTCCTACCAAGCTTGTCACACATTGTAATGAGCATTCACACCTCAGACCTCTCCCACCCTTGGAAACAAAAGATATGTTAATGACCAATTTCACACCTCAGACCTCTCCCACCCTTGGAAACAAAAGATATGTTAATGACCAATTCACACCTCAGACCTCTCCCACCCTTGGAAACAAAAAGATATGTTAATGACCATTCACACCTCAGACCTCTCCCACCCTTGGAAACAAAAGATATGTTAGTGACCATTCACACCTCAGACCTCTCCCACCCTTGGAAACAAAAGATATGTTTAATGACCATTCACACCTCAGACCTCTCCCACCCTTGGAAACAAAAGATATGTTAGTGACCATTCACACCTCAAATTCCTCATGAAGACCTCCTGCCCGGTGGCCTTAATGACTCCCTTCACCAGACACCTTTCCCACCCTTGGAAACGGGTGGACTGACAACTCATGGGGCCCCTGGGCAATTGGGGATCATGGTGCCCCTGTGTCCTTGTCCAAACTCAAAAAAGCCTATGAAAAAGGTACCAGGGGCATCTCATGGCGCCCCCTACTGACCCCGGGCCCGAGTTTCCAAATGGTCACTCTGCCCCTGCTTGGAAACAAAAGAAATGTTAATGAGCAACTCACACCTAAGCTAATCTCAACACATACTGCTGTATCTGCTTCTACTCTCTGTATTTCTCTGAAACAGTCAGAAATAGTTAATAATTTACCACTGTTCAGTGCATTCTGGGGCATTTGGGAGGTTCTTTAAAAAACGCTTCTAAACGCAAACGCACATAAACGCATTATGCAAACGCGGCTAAACATATTTTTTTAAACCTACATTTCCCAGCAGTCAGTTTCCATCGTTCAGTAGTGTCCCGTGTACATGGAGCCTTAAAGCTACTCAAAAACGCTATTATAGCGTTTTTTATCCAGAGTTTTTTCCAGCTTTTTTGAGCTTAAAAAAAAAACCCGCTAGTGTGCATGGAGCCTCAGGGACAACTGGACTCACATATTCCTTCCCAAGGAGCATTCTAATTATACAGATTTCTTTATTACAGATTCCTGATCTGAGAGTACGTGGGACAATTGTCCTTGATTATCTTCCACACAATACGTTGTAGATCCAGAATAAGGTCCGATCCTGTGACTTATAATTATTGTCATATATTACAGAGATTCTGTCCTCATTCTGCACCGGATCAGCTGGAGGCACCAAGCAGGGCACTGACAGTAAGCAGACCCAGGGCAGTCAGTACGCGGGATCCTACGGGGGCACTGGATGCACCATCTATGTTCTTTTCGTCCTCTGTGTCCTCTGTGTCCTCTGTGTCTCCTCTGTCCTCTGGCTTCCTGGTATAGATGTATGGATGATCCTAAAAATATATAAAACATTGAGACAGGGGAAACAGAACAAATTTAGATACCTGGGTCCATCCCACAAAATTCCTAAATTAGAACTAAAGGCAAATTTTTTTTTTTTTTTTTTTTTTTTTTTTACAGAAGTTTAGAACCCCTGGCCAGTTTTTTTGCCATCTGTGTCCCATTGGGGAGATTTTTCTTCACCTTCTGTCTCATAGCCAAAGCAGGAAAAAAAAGAGGAGATGCCTTGTTGGTGAGGGAACCCCTGGTTGTCCTCTTTGGAAGATTTCCCTCTAAAATGTTCTCTTTCACTTTCAATGCTAAATAGGGTGAATCTCTTAATAGGGGCACAGAGAGAGATACGAAATGTGGGTTCTAGTCGACTCTATTACAAAAATTGTCTTTATTCATACTTAAAGTGTTACTAAACCCAGGACCCTGCATTCACTATACCCGCTCTCCCTGGACCTTGCAGTCACTATATCCACTCTCCCCGGACCCTGCGATCACTATATCTGATCTCCCCGGAGCATTCACTATATCTGGTCTCCCCGGATCCTGCATTCACTATATCCGGTCTCCCCAGACCTTGCATTCACTATATTCGTTTTCCCCGGACCCTGCATTCATTATATCCGGACTCCACGGACCCTGCAACTAATCTGCTCTCTCCGGACCCTGCATTCACTATATCTGCTCTCTCCGGACCATGCATTCACTATATCCACTCTCCCCGGACCCTGCATTCACTATATCCACTCTCCCCGGACCCTGCATTCACTATATCTGCTCTCTCCGGACCCCGCATTCACTATATCCGCTCTCCCCGGACCCTGCATTCACTATATCTGCTCTCCCCGGACCCTGCATTCACTATATCCGCTCTCCCCCCGGACCCCGCATTCACTATATCCGGTCTCCCCGGACCTGCATTCATATATCTGGTCTCCCCGGACCCTGCATTCACTATATCCGGTCTCCCCGGACCCTGCATTCACTATATCTGCTCTCTCCGGACCTGCATTCACTATATCCGGTCTCCCCGGACCCTGCATTCACTATATCCACTCTCCCCGGACCCTGCATTCACTATATCCGGTCTCCCCGGACCCTGCATTCACTATATCCGCTCTCCCTGGACCCTGCATTCACTATATCCAGCTCTCCCTGGGACCTGCATTCATTATATCCGCTCTCCCCGGACCCCGCATTCACTATATCCGCTCTCCCCGGACCCTTCATTCACTATATCTGATCCCCGGACCCTGCATTCACTAGATCCGCTCTCCCTGGACCCTGCATTCACTATATCCAGTCTCCCTGGAACCTGCATTCATTATATCTGGTCTCCCCAGACCCTTCATTCACTATATCTGATCTCCCCATTCCCTGCATTCACTATATCCGCTCTCCCCGGACCCTGCATTCACTATATCCGCTCTCCCCGGACCCCGCATTCACTATATCCGGTCTCCCTTGACCCTGCATTCACTATATCCGCTCTCCCTTGACCCCGCATTCACTATATCCGGTCTGGCACCCTGCATTCACTATATCCAGTCTCCCACAGTGCACAGAACATAGAAATGCAATTATTTTAGTAAATATAAACTGCTAAATACCTTTTTCTCTTCAGCAGTATATAGTAGTTTGTGACTTCTATCAGTGTCCAGCAGAGCACTGGTTACAGCTAGTAGGAGGAGTTTACATTCTACTCTAGGAGGATTCAGAACCCCTGACCCTCTGTCTGGACAGTGCTGATTGGCCCTGTTCTGATCACATGCACTTTCCCAAGAAAAAAAAAAAAAATCCTTCTAGCATTACACACCAAACTGAGCATGTGCAGAGTGACTCCAAAATATGTCTTATCAAGATATAAGAGGAGGGCACTGGAAGAAGGGGAGGATCAGAGAAGTCAGGATCAAGCAGCCTTTTTACACAATGCAGAGGATTAACCCCTTAGGTTCCAGAGTGAGTATACCAAGCATGCTTTACTGCATCTACAGACTGATTGTAGTATTGTGGGTTTAGTAACACTTTAAGATCGGTATTAAACTCAAAACCAGAAATGTAATATATTGCAGCTGATCAATCCTTAGATGTGGTGGCTGCATTCGTTTTCTTTGTTTAGGCTTTTTTCCCCTGAAGACTGAGATTAAGCTCTGCAGTCACTTTTGCAGCAGTTGTTTTCTTATTCCGGGTCACAATCCTGCGCAATGACCTTTTGTCTCTTTCGATCAGTTGATCATGTCGACCGCGCTTATCAGACGTTTTTCAGGAAACTGTATACACTGTTGTAACCTTTGATACTGTACCTGGTGACACGGCAAATAAGTTGTCGACTTCAGTCACAGAGGCGCCAGCTAAGCAGCACCAACAATGTGCCCTCTTTGAAGCTCAGTAAGCTCTGACGTCACTCCGTATTACTAGCAGCACACTCAGTGAATGAGGAAAGTGAGGCTTCCCCCACCTGTTAGCTAGGTGTCTCATCACACAGCGGAGGCAAAAGAATGTTACATTACTTCCACTTTCAACACAAAACATGTGGTCGCTTTCACACCTGCAAGTCATGTAGTGTTTCCATATGTGTGTCCATCCCTTGTATATACAGTATCTCCCAGAAGTGAGTCCACCCCTCACATTTTTGTAAATATTTGATTCTATCTTTTCATGTGACAACACTGAAGAAAAATGACTTTGCTACAATGTGACGTAGTCAGTGTACAGCTTGTATAACATGGAAATTTGTTGTCCCCTCAAAACAACTCAACCCACCGCCATTAATGTCTAAACCACTGGCAACAAAAGTGAGTCCACCCCTAAGTGACAAGGTCCAAATTGGGCCCAAAGTGTCAATATTTTGTGTGGCCGCCATTATTTTCCAGCACTGCCTTAACCCTCTTGGGCATGGAGTTCACCAGAGCTTCACAGGTTGCCACTGCAGTCCTCTTTCACTCCTCCATGACGACATCATGGAGCTGGTGGATGTCAGAGTCCTTGCGCTCCTCCACCTTCCGTTTGAGGATGCCCCACAGATGCTCAATAGGGTTCAGGTCTGGAGACATGCTTGGCCAGTCCATCACCTTCACCCTCAGCTTCTTTAGCAAGGCAGTGGTCATCTTGGAGGTGTGTTTGGGGTCATCATCATGTTGGAATACTGCCCTGCGGCCCAGTCTCTGAAAGGAGGGGATCATGTTCTGCTTCAGTATGTCACAGTACATGTTGGCATTCATGGTTCCCTCAATGAACTGTAGCCCCCCCAGTGCCGGCAGCACTCATGCAGCCCCAGACCATGACACTCCCACCACCATGCTTGACTGTAGGCAAGACACACTTGTCTTTGTACTCCTCACCTGGTTGCCGCCACACACGCTTGACACCATCTGAACCAAATCAGTTGATCTTGGTGTCATCAGACCACAGGACATGGTTCCAGTCATCCATGTCCTTAGTCTGCTTGTTTTCAGCAAACTGTTTGCGGGCTTTCTTGTGCATCATCTTTACAAGAGGCTTCCTTCTGGGACGATGGCCATGCAGACCAATTTGATGCAGCGTGCGGCGTATGGTCTGAGAACTGACAGGCTGACCCCCCCCCCCCCACCCCTTCAACCTCTGGAAAAGCTGGAAAGGAGGAAAACTTGGAGCTCACTGGCCCCCTGAGTGAGGACCATCTGTATGGCAGGGATAGGGCAGCCCAGCAGATAGGCCTGGTAGCTGCAGCCAGCCGCATGAGGTACAGGAGAGGATATGAGTGAGTACACCTGCACCCCCTGGGTGGATAGAAGAAGGAGCACTCTGGTGGGAAACCAGATTAGCCCCCTACTAGCGACTGTGTGCCTCAATTAAAGGGACAGGAGCCAGATCCCCTGCACAGGAAAAGTCTACAGATTGTTGGGTGAACAGGAGGTCATCTAGGGTCTGGGGTGGTACAACTGGGAGCTGCTGGCTAGCCCTCCAACAAAGATTGTGTTGCTGAAGAAGGAGAAGCAGTGAATAGTTCAGGAAGTTGTCCTCAGTTATCGGTCCCCTTGGGCATCCTATACCCCCCTTACCCTATCCAAGGTATGATCCCCTCAATAAATACCAAAACCAACCCTCAAGGATTGGTTTCTGTCTCCAGATGAAAGCTTGTATGGAAAATACTGAATGTCTGGCAGTGCAGGACTATAGGGGGACCCAAATTCATCAGCAATCTCTAAGGGGGTAGAGCTACACCTGTGTATATGTACATACAGTTGCAAGAAAAAGTATGGGAACCCCTTGGGATTACGTAGAGTTTTGCATGAATTGGGCATAAAATGTGCTCTGAACGTCATCTAAGTCACAACAATAGAAGAACACAGTCTGCTGAACATAATACTACACAAACATTAGATGTTGCCATGGTTTAATTTGCACATAACATGTAAACATTCACAGTGCAGGGAGGAAAAAGTATGTGAGGCCCTAACTTAATGACTTCTCCCAGAGCTAATTGGAGCCAGGAGTGAGCCAACCTTGACTCCAATCAGTGTGATGATATTGGATGTGTTGCTGACAGCTGTCCTGCCCTTAAAAAAACACACACCTGTTTTGGGTTTACTGGTTTCAAGAAGCACTGTCTGATGTGAACCATGCCTCGCAGAAAAGAGCTCTCAGAAGACATACGATCAAGAATTGTTGACTTGCATGAAGCTGGAAAGGGTTACAAAAGTATCTCCAAAAGCCTTGATGTTCATGTGTCCACGGTAAGACAGACTGTCTACAAATGGAGAAAGTTTAGCACTGTTGCTACTCTCCCTAGGCGTGGTCATCCTATAAAAATGACTGCAAGAGCACAGCGCAGAATGCTGCATGAGGTAAAGAAGAATCCCAGAGTGTCAGCTAAAGACCTACAGAAATCTCTGGCACATGCTAACATTTTTGTTGACACATCTACAATAAGGAAAACATTAAACAAGAATGGAGTACATGGGAGGACACCATGGAGGAAGCCATTGCTGTCCAAAAAGAAGATTGCAGCACGTTTGAAGTTTGCAAAAGAGCACCTGGATGTTCCACAGCACTACTGGCAAAATATACTGTGGACAGATGAAACCAAGATTGAGTTGTTTGGGAAGAACACACAACACTATGTGTGGAGAAAAAAAGGCACAGCACACCAACATCAAAACCTCCTCCCCACTGTGAAACATGGCGGGAGGGAGCATCATGGTTTGGGGCTGCTTTGCTGCCTCAGGGCCTGGACGGATTGTTGTCATTGATGGGAAAATGAATTCCAGAGTTTATCAAGACATTTTGCAGGAAAACGTACGACCATCTGTCCGCCAACTGAAGCTCCGCAGAGGATGGGTGATGCAACAGGACAATGACCCAAAGCATACAAGTAATTCAACAAAACAATGGCTGCAACAGCACAGAATACGCCCTAGAGTGGTCCAGTCAGAGTCCTGACCTCAACCCGATTGAAATGTTGTGGCATGACCTTAAGAGAGCGATTCACACCAGACATCCCAAGAATATTGCTACACTGAAACAGTTTTGTGAAGAGGAGTGGTCCAAAATGACTCCAGATCGTTGTGCAGGTCTGATCTGCAACTACAGGAAACTTTTGGTTGAGGTTATTGCTGCCAAAGGAGGGTCAACCAGTTATTAAGTCCAAAGGTTCACATACTTTTTTCCTCCCTGCACTGTGAATGTTTACATGTTATGTGCAATTAAACCATGGCAACATCTAATGTTTGTGTAGTATTATGTTCAGCAGACTGTGTTCTTCTATTGTTGTGACTTAGATGACGTTCAGAGCACATTTTATGCCCAATTCATGCAAAACTCCACGTAATCCCAAGGGGTTCACATACCTTTTCTTGCAACTGTATATATATATACTGTATATATATATAATGTCATGTTTCACATGACTGTCATATGCCTTTAAATGTTCTTTGTATTTGTCTCTGCTCCTCCCTTTCCTTTGGTTTAGTTCTTGTTGTATAGATAGCCCCACCCCTTTTCCCAGTAATGCATTTCAGCTTCAAGCCTCATGTCATGAAGTAGATCACATTATGATCTTTTGACCTATTTGATGTTCATTGTTGTAAGTTTCTCTCAGTTTATGGAATAAACTTCACAAGATCTACAAGGTGTCATCTGATCGAATCACTGCCTGTGTTATTCAACTAAGATTGGAGTTATCGCTATCTCATCAGAACTGTAAATTACAGAAATCACACTTTCAATGCTTAGATTGGAGAGACAGAACATAAAATGTAATTTTTATTAATTTTTAAATGTATATACTGTATAAATATTTAAAGTGGTCTTAAACCTCACACATGAAATATGAAAAAAAAAGCATTTCCCTCTACAGTGTGTACTTTTCTCAATTAAGAGCACTAAGTGTCATTTCTGTCTGCTGCCTCTTTCCTCTGCTATCAGTATGAATCACTTTTGACAAGTTTTCCTGACACCAAGAGAAAAATGGTGATGGGGAGGGACTTCCAGCACACAGCCTGAGATTGACAGCCTCAGCTCTGTTCCTGTGAGCTGTGTGGAGGGTGGGGGGTGTCCCTTCCCTCCAATCAGCTCTCAGATCTCTCCTCACTGAGCTGTGCAGTGTGTAATTTCAGCTTTCTGCCCCTTGTTTTCTGAACTCTCAGAAAGTGTTATAAATTCTG